AAAAATGCTATAAAATTCGTTAGGCAAAAGTACGGCCATATTGCTTCCACAGGGCGTTGACTTTCAGTGGGCGTTGCTGACTACTCGTGGGTCGATTGCGCATCTGCATGTACATATCTAAGTAGGTCGTCCACAGCTTACTACTTCTACGAAACACGCACTTGCAAAATCTTTTTTTATGCTGCGCACGTCTTACGTCACTCGTGAGGAAAGCATAGCACAATTACCTTACAGAGACAAAATATTATGCTTGTTTTCCGGAAATGTTTTATTAAAGTATCACTATCAATCATGGCATTTACTCTTCATGAAATTTATTTTTATCAAAGATATAAGATTTTACGTTTACTTTTTCGCAGAATATTTTAATCTAATATGCGCTTTTCACTTTCTACAACAACATTTCTTCGAAGAAAATATACCAGTGGCATTTATTTCAGAAGTGCATGATAAGTGCATATGGATGTGACAATCAAACCACACATCTATTTCTTAGAAACAGAGAGTATGAGATTTACAGAATGATAACGTCTGTACAGGAATTCTTGATAAAGAAATAAAGCTTCGTGGGCGAAGTGTTCAGTACAGTGCAAATGAGTGTTCAATCTTATGAATATATGTCTTTTTTTGAAATAATAAAACTAATCTGATGCAAGTGAAATACCGCATTCAGATAAGATCATTGGAATTCTACCCTACCCTTGTATCTTAAGCAAAAGGAAAACACTGATGCCCCCATATAGCAGCTCATGTCGAAGGTTAAAGTTTCTCAAATGCAAGTCAAACTCCAAAGTCAAAGTCGAGATCAAAAATTGTTGATACCCAAGGGAAGGTCTTGTCACAAGGAATACACATGTAAAATGTAAAAGCCCTCGCCTTTCAAAAGTTATGGCCAAGGTTAAAGTTTTTCAAAAGTAGGTGAAACTCCATGATCAAGGTCAAATGATCAAATTCTTTGTGTACCCAAGGGAAGGTCTTGTCACAAGAAATACACAAGTGAAATTACTCAAACTGTTCAAAAGTTATGGCCAAGCTTAAATTTTTTCGAAAGTAGGTCAAACTCCAAGGTCAAGATGAAACGGTCAGAATTGTTGGTATCCAAGGAAGGTCTTGTCACAAGAAGTAGGCAAGTGAAATATGAAAGTCTTAGCACCAATCATTCAAATGTTATGACCAAGTTAAAGTTTTTCAAAAGTAGGTCAAACTCCAAGGTCAAGGTCAAACGGTAAAAATTGTTTGTACCCATGGGAAGGTCTTGTCACAAGAAATACACAAGTGAAATATGAAATCCCTTGCACTGACTGTTCAAAAGGTATGATCAAGGTTAAAGTTTACTAAAATTTTGCAAAATTAGGTCAAACTCTAAGGTCAAAGGGTAAAAAAATGTTGGTACCCAAGGAAATGTCTTGTCACAAGGAATACACATGTAAAATATGAAATTCATAGCTCCATCCAATCAAGTTATGGGAAAAGTTAAGGTTTTTGAGGACAAACACAAACAGCTAAACAGACAGACGGACGGACAGAGCAACAACTGTATGCCCCCGAATCTTAGTTTATAGGGGCATAGAAAAGATGGTGTTTTTATCTAATACATTTTTGTCCCCGAATAGATAGTTATTATCTGTTATCTATTTGTGGTTGTGTTAGAAAGTGCACATTGGAAAATGAGACGTTATTATCTATATAGAGGAAATGAAAAACAGTAATATTTATATTTAAACATTTATTGTTTGGCGTTGTTGGTCGTGGCATAATATACATGTATAAGCAGCAAAGGGTCGCCAAGCAGGGCAGACCCAAAATTCAAGCAACAACACAATACAAAGCAAATCAATTATTTGGCTGTTCCAGGTTTACCGCAAACAGTCATTTACCTTTAAGCTTATTAATGTTTTTTAATTATAAAAAAGTTTTGAATAAATTCAAATATAGCAACAACAAGCATAAAATAAGCAGCACAATCAAGCAGCATTTGTTTGTTCCGGGTTGACCGCGAACAATGAAATAAATTGTTAATGTATTTACATTATAAAATATCAAGCCAATGTTCACAGTTCAATGTCTTCAAAATATCATACACAGTTAGATGCACAAGGTTGAAACATCAGTTGAATGGATGGGCGCAAATGCCTTCATATGCGTTACTTTGGACTTCACTTCTTTCCATCAAAGATGCCACGACAATATTTTAATTGTAGGATTCTGGATATCGTGATGTTCTGCAACAAACAAGCAAAAAAAACCAAGAGCTGTACCTATTTAACAACCAAAAGAGCATTCTGCAACAAACAAGCAAAAAACCAAGAGCAGTACCTATTTAACTACCAAAAGAGCATTACCCTTATTGGGAAGGGAGGGCTGGGGTTTTTAGAAAAATAAAGCAGGATTGAGATTATTTTTTGGAAATTTTCAAGAGCTTAAAATTATGCTACCTTTCAGTTCGAAGCGCATGTGGAAAAAAGGATGCGTATACCGAACCCGATTTTGTACGCCGAACTCGAGCAAAAAATTTCCCCATAAGATAAAGGCATCTATATTATATTCATATAGATGCTGTTATCTATATAGAGGAAATGAAAAACAGTAATATTTATATTTAAACATTTATTGTTTGGCGTTGTTGGTCGTGGCATAATATACATGTATAAGCAGCAAAGGGTCGCCAAGCAGGGCAGACCCAAAATTCAAGCAACAACACAATACAAAGCAAATCAATTATTTGGCTGTTCCAGGTTTACCGCAAACAGTCATTTACCTTTAAGCTTATTAATGTTTTTTAATTATAAAAAAGTTTTGAATAAATTCAAATATAGCAACAACAAGCATAAAATAAGCAGCACAATCAAGCAGCATTTGTTTGTTCCGGGTTGACCGCTAACAATGAAATAAATTGTTAATGTATTTACATTATAAAATATCAAGCCAATGTTCACAGTTCAATGTCTTCAAAATGTCATACACAGTCAGATGCACAAGGTTGAAACATCAGTTGAATGGATGGGCGCAAATGCCACATGACCTAAAACTTAAAAGTTTAAGGTCACCCCACACATGGGGAGCCCCATTCAACTGACCCACAACCAACATGTAATGGTAACCACCCCTCTTAACACTGGGTGTCAGGAAATACTGACCCACACCCACTGTTAAAATATTCAAGACCCCCCTGTATGTTGTTTAAGAATACAGAATTGCCTAGCGGATTTAGGTGCACCTTATCACTAGCCAAAAAACACTCTATGTTCCTAATGAGATCTGGGTGCTTGATATAAGCCCCTCCTAGATGAAGTACCTGACAAGCAGCTGCCCTATTCAATCGTACACGCGCCCGTTCCATGGCAGAATTGTCTAACGAGTGTCTGTATGTAAGGCGTGGCAAAATTTGGGACCAAACAAGTCTTGTATTGGGGAGGAGCTGCGATAATTTTTCTATATCTTCTTTCATTATTGTAATAAGCTTAAACAAAGGTAAATCTGGTCCCCCCAAATCGTTCCCCCCACAGTGAATGAGCAAGAAGTCGGGATAATCTTCATATTTGGCTAATAACAGTACTTTTTTCTTTAAATTAATTAACTTTAAACCTGAGTAGCCTTGCCACCAGATATCCATCCCTAACCTTTCCAATCCTAAGTGAACCCCTCCTGTCCTAAGCAAGGCGGCCTGAAAGGCATGCTTAACTATAGATGACCCAACACACCAAACAGTAGAATGACCTGTAAAGCATAAATTTTACAAACATAATTTCTTAATAGGACAGCGAATATAAGACTTGTAAACTTGTGACTTCCATCTACCTGCCTCCCTAATATAATCTGGATCACACCCTTGTTGGTAAGCAGTAGTTGCAGCCCCGATTCTAAAAGAATGGGCTTTATAGCTACAGCTCTGAAACCCAAGAAGATTTATTGCTTTATGTAAAACTGCTGTAAATTGATATCTGGTTAGGGGACAATGGTCAAGATGGCAGAATAATGGCCCATTGACTGCAGGTCTTATAGACAGAAACTCTAGCATGTACCTAACTGGGCACTGGAGAGTACCAGTTTTTTCAATGCAAATGGTAACCCCTTTCCCATACTGGTCATTTTTGGAATGTCTTATGGTCAAATACATTTTAGAATTGTCACAATCAAAGTTAATGTCTGACCTATGAATGATAGTATCAAAACTATTTCCCTTTGACAGTGTTAATTCCCCAACTCTCAAAAACCCCAAAAATGCTAACATGTATGCCGCTTGAAAGAGACGAGACTCATACAAATTTGTACAGACTGATGGTAATATGTGAATTATTTTACACAGTACAGAAGGGGTAATTGGAAGTCTTGGATCTTTCTTAACTGATAATGTCTTCATGCCTTCTAACATCTTACAAACCAAAAAATTCTTTGTGATATCAACTAGACCTCTGGACTTGCACTCAAAACTTATTGCTGATAGATACAATCTAGCAGTTGATGAAGTAAACTTTTTCAGAGATAAATATGCTATAAATTGAACAACATGCTCTGGGGGTGGAGGCCAAATATTTGAAAAGCTAAATTCATCCCTAAATTTTTGAAATGCAGTTATTCCAGTATCGTATGCTAGCTTTGTATTCTTTGATAAGGAGGCAGTTTTTCTACTTGCAACTGCAAATCAAATGAAGAAAATTGGTTGGAATGGGTTCTGGACTTTCCTTTGCTTCTGGAGCCAATTCCCTGAACCGCCACCACTGCTTGCGAGAAATAGAATCAGCAATACTATTATTACTACTAATAATGTGTTTGGCTTTAAAAATACAATTACATTCCATAAGCATTAATACCAATTGCCTAACTAGCTTCATTACTCTCTTGGACTTGGAAGTTTGTTTGTTTACTATTCTGACTAAAGCAAGATTGTCAATGTGAAACAAAACCTTTTTGCACTTAAGGTCATGACCCCATAAACTAATTGCTAATACTAGGGGAACTAGCTCTAGAAATGTCATATCTCTAAGAATATCAGTCCTTTGTCATGCTAATGGCCACTGAAAAAACACCCATTTACCCTGAAAATATGCACCACATCCAAGCTCTGCACTTCCTGCACTATCTGTATATAATTTTAGTACATCTGAACTTATCCACTCTTTATCTGGAAAATAGGAAATCCCATTGAACTCCTCTAAAAACTTAGACCACACATATAAATCCTCCTTCAACTCAACTGATAACCTTACATGATGATGAGCTTCTGAGGCACCACTCATAGCATCGTAAAACCTACGATTGAATGCCCTACTGGACCTTATTGCTTTTCCAAAGAAATTTAACATTCCTACTAATGATTCTAGTTCTTTCAATAAAACTGATTTTCTTGCCAAAAAGTCATGTATAATTTGTTTCAGAATATCAACTTTTGCCTGAGGGATCCTAATCAACATATTAATGGTATCAATCTCTAATCCTAGAAATGTAAGTACAGAAACAGGGCCAATGGTCTTATCCTCTGCTAATGGAGTACCGAGCTCAGTACACATATTTATAAACTCTGACATTAGTTTTTGACAATTGTTTGTTCCTAACCTTCCAGCAAAAATAAAATCATCAAGATAGTGATCCAATGAATCTAACCCTGACCGAACTTTTGTTAACCAATGCAGAAATGTGGCAAAAGTTTCCCAAATTTTGCAACTTATTGAGCACCCCATAGGTAAACACTTATCTATGTAAAATAAAGAATCAATTGAAAAGCCCAACAAATCAAAATCACTTGGGTTTACAGGAATAAGTCTAAAAGCACTTTTGATGTCTACTTTACCAAGCAAGGCCCCTTTCCCAAGATTAGCTATCATTTCAACCACATTGTCAAATGATGAGTAATGGACAGAACATAAATCTGGGTCTATGAAGTGATTTATGCTTTTGAACTTTGGATATGAAAGGTGCATGATCATACGCCACCCCCCATCTGACTTTGGTACTATTCCTACAGGTGAAATATGGAGATTAGCTAATGGAATATTAAGAAAAGGACCCATAATCCTACCCATCTCTACCTCTTTCCTAACTTTATCCAACAATTCCTCATGATGATCAGAGGCTGATGTTAAATTTTTTGACATACAATGAATCCTTGGACCATTGTAATGTAATCTAAATCCCTCATAAAATCCCTGTTTTAATTCAAGTGCTGCAATTTTATTTGGGTATGTTTCAAGACTTTCAATTAACCTGTCTACATTAATTGGTGTTTTTCCCAATTCCCATAGGTCTGGCGGAATATGAGTAATGATAGTTATGCTGGGCAAGTTATGCCTTGGAAGCTTTGATCTGGGGATTTGTGCCTGTGGTCCATGGGGGCGAAAACGAATAGGAGCAACTGATGATAAGGAAGGAATTTTGGTATTTACCTGACCATAGTTATTCCCATAATTGCCTGATTGAATTTGAGCTTGAGGGTAAGATGATGCCCGAGGGCACTGTGAAACTGGATGGTTACCTCGACATTTGATGCACACATGGCTATAGGAACATATTGGGCGCACACAAATCCCTTTATAATTGTAATCAAAACGTGTATGTTGACAGAGAGGGGACTGTGCTTGGGGTTTGAAATGCATTTGTTGGGCACATGTAAATAAGCCACAATTCATTGTCTACATTTCCCCATGGAATTGCTGGATTAAGGCTACGACGAAAACGAAATTGCTCGTCATATTTTTTTAAACCAAGACCCCCAACCCTTGATGCTCCCAACCTAACATCATGCATGTATTTGAATAACCCTTGAACTGAATCAAGGTGAACTGCGGAGTAGATGCTGCTATATATAATAAAGGCATCCGTCCATTTTTCAATGTTATCAATTTTGACAGATGGTTTATTAGTTTCCCTTGTGACGAGTTCCCCCTTTTCATTAATGTAGATAGATTTTTCTGAGGGTACAGCATTAGTATTGTGAAGCAGCAAAGCAAGATCTACATAAGCTGAACTTATTACTTTTGATTTAATATCTTGTGACACATTAACTGCCAGCTGATGTGTAATACTTTGAAGCATTTGAGGTGTACCTTGTGATTCACCCATGGCATTCTGAATAACCGACTCTGAGGTACAGGGGGGTGATGTCGCAGAAGATTGCACACCTGCAACTGTCATTGTAGGGCTTTGAAAACCAACAGTCTCGCTATTTTTGTTGAGTTGTTCAAGGACAACTGGAACCATCTCAGACTCTTTTTCAACCTCTGCTGGGGTGACTTTGGGTTGTTTAGGTCTTGGCTTGGTTGCTTGCCTTCGCAATGTCGTATCCTTGGTCCTCTTGGATTTGACCCGTGGCATTGTGATATCACAAACAAAATAACAATAGCAAAAATTACTTTTTAAATTTACACTAAAATTTTCTACAAAATATATAAAAGATTTAAAGTGTACAAGCCGCGTTTATTCGAATTTTCTTAACGATTTCAATCCCACGAAAATCACCCTTTAAATACAGCTAAACTAAGCAATCGATGTAAACAAACATCACCAATGTGTCTAAAATTATTCTTTCAAACAAGTTTTTAGAAAAATAAAGCAGGATTGAGATTATTTTTTGGAAATTTTCAAGAGCTTAAAATTATGCTACCTTTCAGTTCGAAGCGCATGTGGAAAAAAGGATGCGTATACCGAACCCGATTTTGTACGCCGAACTCGAGCAAAAAATTTCCCCATAAGATAAAGGCATCTATATTATATTCATATAGATGCTGTTATTTTTGTAAGTTCGAAAAATAATTCGTTCATAAATTATGAGTAAAATATTTTTAAAAAAACCTTGCTTTAAACTAAGTCTCAATTGCTGTTATATTTGTCAATTTTATTTTCATTTTCTCATCAGGCAATGATTAATTTATGACTTTATATAGAAAGAATTTACAATAGAATCTCCCCAACATGGGAGTAAATCTTTAGATTTTCGGGTAATAATAAAGTAATGAATAAACATTTGAATTTTGGTAAAATTAATGAAATTTGTTTTGAATATACGAATGAAACAACGATAATTTTTCTTCACTAAGTATTTGATTCATCACCGCTATATGCAGCATATTCTGCTGAATTCATCGGCATCATCACGTGACATAGATCCAGGTATCAACACAAGGAAAGTTTACTCTTTTTGTCATCTATAGATCTTAATAGAACAGTGCACTCTTATCATTTATCAACTACGAAAGCCTAGAAGGGTCAAATAAGAAAATTTTAAAAAAAATTTAAAAGTCGTAATAACGAGATAAAAAGTCGTTATTACGAGATAAAAAGTCGTAATTACGACTTAAGAAAGTCGTTATTGCGAGATAAAAAGTCGTAATTACGACTTAAGAAAGTCGTTATTACGAGATAAAAAGTCGTTATTACGAGATGAAAAGTTGTAATTACGACTCAAGAAAGTCGTAATAACGAGATAAAAAGTCGTTATTACGAGATAAAAAGTCATAATTACGACTTAAGAAAGTCGTAATAACGAGATAAAAAGTCGTTATTACGACTTAAGAAAGTCGTTATTACGAGATGAAAAGTCGTAATTACGACTTACAAAAGTCGTAATAACGAGATAAAAAGTCGTTATTACGACTTAAGAAAGTCGTTATTACGAGATAAAAAGTCGTTATTACGAGATGAAAAGTCGTAATTACGACTTACAAAAGTCGTAATAACGAGATAAAAAGTCGTTATTACGACTTAAGAAAGTCGACTTTTTATCTCGTAATAACGACTTTTTATCTCGTTATTACGACTTTTTATCTCGTTTTTACGACTTTTTATCTCGTAATAACAACTTTCTATAGTCGTAATAACGACTTTTTATCTCGTTATTACGACTTTCTTAAGTCGTAATAACGACTTTTTATCTCGTAATAACGACTTTCTTAAGTCGTAATTACGACTTTTTATCTCGTAATAACGACTTTTTATCTCGTTATTACGACTTTTTATCTCGTAATAACGACTTTTTATCTCGTAATAACGACTTTTTATCTCATTATTACGACTTTCTTAAGTCGTAATAACGACTTTTTATCTCGTAATAACGACTTTTTATCTCGTTATTACGACTTTTTAATTATTTTTTTTTTTGTTTTCTTATTTGACCTTTCTAGGCTTTCGTAATCAACGACTTTAATATCGATGAATTAATTTGATTAATAAATGCACTGAAATCAAAACACATGCCATTTCAATTTATCTTGAATTTGTGCATTTTTCGGGGTGGGGGTGGGGGGTTGAAGACAGTCTGAAATATCTTGCGCTTTTCTTGGACGTTTTCTGTGAATGAAATTTTTTAACTTGCATTTATATCTTGCGCTTTTTTGGACGTTTACTGTGAAAGTAGTTTTTTTGAACGCTTAATTTTATTTGCGGCCTATTTTATGCTATGCATCAATTTTACTTCCATACGTATAGTCCATAAGATAAGACTGTGTGACAAGATGATACAGGTCTTCTGTTCTGTCTGACATCTTTCAAAAAACGAACGACTAGTCGTCTCTGTTTCAATCTTTAACGTATAATAATGATAGAATGTTTGCCAAGTATTTTAGTGTATCCAGTCTTTTTTTTGATGAGGCGTATTACAGAATGTCAAAGAATATCATTAGATATAGTGTGCAGGCATTGTATTTCTCCAAAGACTTAGTAAGAATTATATTATAAAAATCAATATACCCAATTCAGGTCACCATTTTTCAATATCCTTGTAAAGTGGGACGCGCTCTGGAGACCTAAAGTTTCTCCTATGATTTTTTTATTTCACCGACCAAATGAAAATTTGGCATAGTGCAAATAGGAAAACAAAAAGTGTTTGGTAAATAGGGATAATTTTCACCTTACACCTGGCAAGTGTATAAAAAGATTAAGATGCCTTTTCTTTATTGCACGATTCTATAAAAAAATATTCTGTGGAAGTAATATTGAATCAATTTGGCAAACCCACGCAATAATTCACTACCATTCCGATAAAAAAAAGAAACAATTAGAGAAAAGGCGATAAAAAAATATGTGTCAATGCGTTTAATACAATCTTGTTTTTGTATTCATTAAATCTGATCAAATGTCGAAGAATTTATTATAGATTACCTAGTACAAATTTTCTAAGTACACCTATACCTTCTTGAAGCTGAAAGAAACAATAAAGAAACATTTCACGCCTTCTCATTGTATCTCTTTCATATGAACCCCATAACAAATTTATTCGCTTTTGAATGTTCTTAATTTCATTCTCAGCGACACTTCAAAGTATGAGGAGAAGAATGATTAACTTAAAAAATTCAAAAACTGTATCTACCTTGGTAATGATTCACATCACCTACAAACAAGGGAGAGTTTGTCCCTCTTCTTGCTGTGGTTATATAAGGCATGGGGTAAATTATGGAGCGGGGTGGAGTCATGGACTGGAGTGTCCTCTTTATATACAGTAACATCTCTTTTACCTCTCAAATTCAATAAAAGAAGCCACTCTTTTTTAAGACCTCTTTAACTCAACACCCTCATTCCG